TGCGGTCATGCAATTTACAGATCGGACGATTCAGGACGAGGGAGTTACGATGCCCCCTCGGGCTGCCGCCGTACCCTTCGCAATTCCTCATCAATGCCGTAACAACTACCGCAGTGACGCGGGATCGACGGATAAGCTGGCGATGAAGCTCTGGCGAGCCAAGCACAGGGCGCCCCAGTACACAGAGACAAGGTCATTGGCTTGGCACTACACGGAGTACGGAGTAGAAGGTGCAAAGTTTGCCCGTCGCTAACCGTACACCGGGTGCCTGAGCCCTGCGGAAGGCCGCAACAGCATCTCCAGCTCGGAGTCATTCCGTGGGCATCAAGGCAGTTCAAACGGAACTTGGGGCGCCAATGACGATGGAGAGAACAGCCAGGGTCCCCGTTGAAACGGGGTCCGGGATGTCACAAGGAACTGCCAACGGCCAGCAACGCGTCGCTTGAAATTTCATGTGGTAATGCTCCGTACTTTGATTCAGGCAGTGACATGGATGTGCTCGCGGAAAATAAGGAGAGATCTCACGCCGCAGGGACCTGGTGGAGGCATTGGCGGAATCCCATTTACACGTACGAAGTGTAGGCACGCGCGTGGCCCATGGGCTTTCTCAAATATGCGTCGTTGGACTCGGTCCATCTCGGCCTCGTCCGTCGGCACATGGGCTCTCGGGTGGCCCCATCCGGTTCATCCGTCGCCCGGCTCGAGAGTCGTTGACGCGGACACAAGGCGCGCGCGCCATGTGCAGGGACGTCGGCCTCATCAGCAGCGAGACGCATCCCGAACCGGTCCGGGACGTTGCCCTTGCATGGAGCTGATACGCCATTCTACCTCCCGACACCTGGCACTGGCCCTGACCCAGATGTTCGTCGATCTCGGATAGGAAAGGGCCGGGGCCAACAGCCAAGCGCGGGCCAGCAATCAACATGCGGCAAGCAACATGCGACACTACGAATGCCTGCCCCTTCAACCTCTTTTCTGCTCGGGCCATGCAGCCATGCCAACTGGACGGCAGCTGGGGGCATGGCCGGCCATGCGGCGGATCCGTTCTCGACCTGGGCGCAAGGGCCTGCAATTTGCCGTATTCGGGAGGTGAAGGAGGGGAGGGAGGGGAGGGGAGGGCAGCGGAGGGGCAGCAGGACTGCCGGCCGGGCGAGGAAGCATTGGACGGAGAATGCAAATGCGAGTCAAGCAAGGGATGGATGGGCCTGGACAGCACTCGTGCCCAAGCATCCCGAGTGCCCTCGAGTGTGATGGCCGCAGGACTATTGGTGAGCTAAATTTCCGGACCGCATGGGTCGCGGCGACCCTTGACTGAGCGAGCGAGCGAGCGTCTTGACTCTTGAAGGCGGTTGGCTTCCGTCTTGCCGAACTGGGCCACGCCTCTTCCCCATCGGACCCCAGTCTCGAAGCCAGCCACGGCTGTGATGTCAACAGCAGATCGGCCCATGGGACCGTGCCGGTCAAGCCGCTGGCAAAATGTCTCTGCCAACCCTGCTCTGCATAGACACTTTACCCGCATGCAACGCCAGTCACCCCCGGACGGCCGTGAGACTAGTCGGCCGCGGGTGCGACCAAGCAAGCGTCATGGCAAGGCACAGCCGGCGGGCCGGGACGGGAGTGCCAGTTCCAGCGCCAGCGCCAGCTCCAGCTCCAGCTCCAGATCCCACCGAGCTGCCGGCCCATGGACGGAGCACGCCTTGCCTCCTCCGACGCGCGGACCGTGGCCCGGACGCGCCCCGGCCGGCCCTCCGGCCGGTGGAGTGGGCGGGCGTCTCTCCATGTCGGGGCGCGCGAGTGTCAGTTTGTCTACAAGAACGCGCCCTGGAACCCGCTCCATGCAGTCAGTCCTTGTTACATACAAGCCTGCGCCAAGTGTCACCCACACGGAGATTTTCTGCCAAGCCGCTCCTGGCTCCTCTCGCCTCGCGCATTGCACAAGGTGGATACGCAGCCTGCGAGGCATGTCACACGGCCGGGGATAGCATCGCGGCCTGCAAACGTTGCGCTCCGCCGGCGGAGCTTGATTATATTTCCGGAGCAACGTATCTGTCGCATCAGGCGATCTCGAGCGTCCACCGAGCCGATTTTGAGTCGGCCTTGCCTCTCGGGGCTCCATCTCACGATGCGATACCGCGGGCTTGGCTGCCAAGTCGTCGCGAAGCTCGCCTGCTCCCGCCTTGTCGTCGACGGTTGAAAACGGTTTAACTACGCTCCAGACAAGGTCAAGGCCGTCTGCCCAGGTCTCGGTTGTTGGCAGCCCCCTCCGGAGCCCTCCGGGCCCCGTCCGAGAATGCTCCTGCGATGTAGAACGCCACCACCTCCAACGGCAAGCATTGATGTGACACCCTGCGGCGCGGTGTTGGGCTACAAGGTTCCGACACACCCGGGTTGGCGCAAGAAGCAACAGATTCGTCAACCTGTTCCAGGACCAACAGCACCACTGGCCAGTCACCTGAGTTGCGCTCACACCTACTCTGCGGCGGGCAGTACGTACGTGTGTTGTGGTTATGTATGCGCCTTTGCCGAAGACCACGCCCAAAGGAAGCAGTGTGGGGGACGCGGAAGTAGGTTCCCCCTGACCATGCCATGGCGCCAACGGACCTGGAATGCCATTGCACATGGCCATGGAGAGGGCCCTGCATAATATCCGGCACTGGCATCCAGTTCCTGCCCCCCTCGGGCTTGGCTTTTCCAGATCAATCCTCAGCGGCACAAGCTCATATGCGTTTCCGGCCTGGGCGACGCAGCTCTCCGTCCCATTACACGTCGTCCGCCTTGCCCCTTTCGGCCACGAAGGATGATGCGTGGCCGTGACACTGGCGCAAGTCTCGCCCGGCAAAGGCGCGTGCAGGTCTGGGGTAGCACGCTGTTCTTGAAAATGCAACAAATAGCAGCTCCTAGGCGAAAAGGGGCGATCGACATGCCTCGACCCTGCGGGCTCAAAGCTTATTGTACTTGAGCGAAGCTCCCGCAATGCCGGCCCGTGTCTCCCCGGTTAGGCTTCAAGGGTACATGAGCGGCTACGCCATCGGACGCATGGCCGTTGGCCCTCACACGTCCGGCTACGAAGATCGTGTACCCGTCCTTGCAGCGGGCGTCAAGGCAAGTCGGGAGGCCCAAAGCTTCCTTGTGCTCCGGCGCGCGTCCGCCGTCGCTCCACAAGCACGAGGATGAGCGACGAGGGTCCTCCGGTACGCACGCATTTCCCTCCAAGCCTCTGCCCTTGTTCTCGCCTCTGTCGTGGACATGGCCGCGGAACCCTTGCAGAGCTGAGGAGGACAGTGTAAAGCCTGGGTTCCGCGGCCGCCTTGTCACACGTCAGGCAACGTGTCCTGCGTCCTGCCAGACCCCTCTGCCAGACCCCTCAGGGGCCCATCACGGGGCATTTTGACCTTTGAAGCGGAGAATCAGACCGGGAAATTGACCCCAAAGCGTCACGGTGGCCGCGCCTGAGGAGACATCCCTTGACCATGATAAACGCATGCGTCCCAAGCCCCCTGAGAGGGGCGTCAGCCCCATCGCATGCCAGGCCGCTTGGTGCCCGTGATTGCATGAGCAAAAGGGCCACGGCGTGACATGTAGAATGGAAAAGGAGATTCCAAGAAACAATATTGCTAAACTCAAAGTCGACGGCAAAGCAAATTCCCGCTGATTAGGGAGCCGGCCAGAAAAACAAGAGTCATGCAACCTGGGGGCCCCCTCCCGCCCCCGCCCGGTCAGCCAGAGTCCCATCTTCATGGTCCGTCACTCTGCCACTGGGCCATGTATCTAGCCGTACTGTACGAGCGTGTTTGCTCTGTTTCGTACTCGCGAACCTAACCGTAGCCCCCAGCCCCTGTCTCTTATACACATCTAGATGTGTATAAGAGACAGCTGTACGAGCGTGTTTGCTCTGTTTCGTACTCGCGAACCTAACCGTAGCCCCCAGCCCCAGCCCCAGCTCCATCTCCATGTCCATGTCCAGCAACGGCGAAGGCGACGGCGAAGGCGGCGGCGGCGGAGCGTGGGACAGCCGTCGCACCTTGATCTGGAGACGCCCCTCCCCTTCCGGGGGGCGTTGTGTCTTGTCTTGTCGGTCGTGCGGTCGTGCGGTCGGTCGCACACAAGCCATTCCCGCGCTCGCTAATCGCCGGGTCAATGCGCCTCGCCTGCTCGCATGACTCCCTCATCTTGTGCTCTCTCTCTTGCCTTGAATATCGTGAGTGCAGTGAGGCAGTGACTCCCACCAGAAGAGGGGGAAGACGAGGACGGGGCACAGTGACGCCGACGAGGGGCGAGCATACGGGGGCCAGGGACAAGGGCGGGCAACAATACCCTGGGCACCTCTGGCAGCCCAAGCTGAGAGGTGTGTCGGTGACCTTTGCGCGAAGTAATACCTACCCGGGAACCTTTTCCAAGAAGGCGTTCAAAGACACCGCGTCTCAGCCCTCGCGCATGGGATGTAGGGGTTCCTAGCCGGCCAGCAGCAACAACAGTCTTGTAACAGCAGAGATAGAAAGCTGAGCACGGCCCTGGCTCGCGGTCTTGTAACTGCAGAGGGGGCAGAAAATGGTAGTACTGGTTGTGGTGGTAGTGAGCTCGCTTGATCCGGCGCCCGCATGTCGTGTGAGGCTCGCACAGCGCATGATATGCAGATTTGCCGACATGTATGTATGCCAACCGCGCTGGTGGCGCGTCATGTGAGACGCCTAATTGGACCGTGAGATGCTGCTGGCAGAAAAGAAACACCGTCGTGACAGCTCGGTCTAGCTGTGTGGTCTCAATATCATCATGTATACACGCCCGTCTCAACAATATACTCTCTCTCTCTCTCGCTCTCTCTCTCTGCCCCTCCGGTGGTGCTCGCGCATCACGACTCCCCTCCCACCACCGAAATGAAAGGCGTCTCCCATCGCCGAGACGGCACCCTCTCCCACGTTCTTCACCCCCTGCGCAGCTTGCAGTTGCCCATCTCGGCCCTGCACGCTCGGAGTCGAGTCGTGACCCTGCGCGGAGGCCGCTCATAGACGGCTCTCGATACCAGCAAAGTTGCTGTCGGCGGCCCAATGAGAGTCGGGCCAGACCAGCCGAATCGCTTCCCAGATATGACTGTTGGGGATGCCTGTTAGCCAGAACTGAGGCAAGACAACTAGCTGAGACATTCAGGCGGTGCAGAATGGTCTTAGCGGGCGACGACGAGGGGTTCCAGTACTTACCTGACATGGAAGATCTGGAGGCCGTCCTTGACCTCCTGCGGTAGGTCCTTGACGTCCTTCCTGTTCTGCGCGGGTAGTAATACCGTCTTGACGCCGGCCCGTAGCGCGCCGATGAGTTTCTCCTTGATGCCCCCGACGGCAGTGACTCGGCCGCGGAGAGATATCTCACCCTGTTTCACGTGTCAGCGTCTTTCTACCCTCTTCATTGCGCAACTCTTGCGACCGCAGAGTTCGGCAAGCTTACCGTCATGGCCATTGTAGGAGGGACAGGTTTGCCAGAGAACAAGGAGATGAGGGCGATGGCCTGTCCGATTCCGCTGCTGGGGCCGTCCTTGGGGATGGCGCCCGACGGGCAGTGCACGTGAATGCTGCGGTCCTTCATGATGTCGATGGTTGGCTCCGCGGTCAGGCCCAGCTCGAAAGAGTGCGCCTTGACCCATGTCAGGGCCACCTCGACGCTTTCCTTGAGCACGTCGCCCAGCTTGCCCGTCAGCTGCACCCTGCCGTTGCCGGGCATGTCCGCGACCTCGATGAATAGGATGCTCCCGTTGCCGCCCGAGCTGTACGCCACGAGACCTGTCACTATGCCTGGCCTGCTCGTCTTCTCGGCAATCTCCTCCTCAAACTTCTCGATGCCCAATATGTTCTCCACGTCCTCGACGGTGAGACGCGAGCGGTACATCTCTAGGCGACCGGCGTCCCTGGCCTCGGCGAACTCGACCGCCTTGGCACGACAGACGGAGCCAATCTCACGTTCCAGGTTGCGAACCCCTGACTCACGAGTGTACGACTCGATGATCTTGGAAACGACGTCCTGGTCAAAACCCACCTGATCCTCGGCTAATCCGTTGACGCGGACTTGTTTCGGGACCAGGTGCTGCATGGCGATGTGGCGCTTCTCAAGCGTTGTGTAGCCGGGCAGGTAGATCATCTCCATTCGATCCAGCAGAGGGGCGGGGATGGTGTCGAGGCTGTTGGCGGTGGCGATGAAGAGGATCTTGGACAGGTCAATGGGCATGCCCACGTAGTGGTCGTGGAAGGTGTGGTTCTGCTCTGGGTCGAGCACTTCGAGCATGGCGGCGGAAGGGTCGCCATGCACACTCGCAGAGCCAATCTTGTCGATCTCGTCCAGCAAGAAGACGGGGTTCGCGACGCCAACCTTGCGCAGACCCTGAACGATGAGGCCGGGCATGGCTGCAACATATGTCCTTCGGTGGCCGCGAATCTCGGCCTCATCCCTCACGCCGCCGAGGGAGATCCGATGGAACTTGCGGCCCAAGGCAGTGGCCACCGACTTGGCAAGGCTCGTCTTGCCCACACCGGGCGGGCCGACAAGCAGCATGATCGGCGACTTGTCGACCATCCGCTGGGATTTGAGCAGTTCCAGCTTGGTGTTGTGAGGATCAGATGCATCGGCTGGGGCCGCAGTGTCCAGAGAGCTGGACGCTGCATCCTCTGCGTCCGGGGCAGCGACGTCTGCTTCAGCTTTGCGGATCTTATCATCGACTTCATCGTTGATGGACTGCTTCAGCCGAAGCACGGCGAGGTACTCTATCAGTCTCTTCTTGACCTTGTCCAAGCCGTAATGGTCGTCGTCGAGTTGCTTGCGAGCCCGAGTCAAGGTGTCAGGCCCCAATCTGTCGTCCGTCGTGGCGGACCACGGGATCTCGGACAAGGTCTCGAGCCAGTTCCTGGTGACCTGATACTCCTGGTTCATGGGCATCATCTTCTGGAGTCGTCGCAACTCTCTGTCGACAGACTTGGCGACGTCGGGAGGGAGACGAGCGGCTTGAAGCTTCTTCTTGAGTTCGTCGAGCTCATTGGCCTCCTGATCGTCGTTTTGATCCTGGCCAGGAGGCATTTGGCCATTGCCGGGCATGAACGTCATGCCGGGCACCTGCAGTATCGAGTTTGGCTTCTTGGACTGACCATCGTTCAGGCGGTCAAGAATCTGCACCGGCACGGATGTAAAGGTCGTGATCTTGAAGTTGTTCTTGATGCCCCCGACCTGCCGCTCGAGCAGCTCCACCACCTTTGTTATTCTCACTTTGACATCGAGGGCGGCCAAGACGCCGAGCTTCTCCTCATGGGTCGTCTCGACCAGATTGGCCATGAAATCCGCGAGGAGTCCGGCCTCCTTGATCTCTCTCCTCATGATGAGCATTTCAAGTCGTTTCGTGATGGCTGGCGACAGCATGGGCCCGCCCTTTGTCCGCGGCAGCAGGGACGAGATGCGAAGAATCGTGACGAGTTCCCGAGACCGCAACTTAAGCAGGCCGAACAGGTCCTGGAGCTGCTTGTCGCCGATATCGACTGAAAGGGGGTCATGGTGATTAGTGTCACGTGCTTGCTCATTCAGGAGGGCTGTCGCAACGTACTGGCATCGCTAAAGTATGTCACCTTGCCCTCGAAAAAGGGACGCTCTCGCAGGATGTGGTCGACGCGGACGCGGGCCGTCGCCTCGACCCGCAGCGCAAACTCGCCGCCGCCGCGGCCGTCGATGCCGATAATCTTGGCGGCCACGCCAAAGCCAAAGATGTCATCCTTGTTGGCCGTGCCGGGGTTGACCTCGTCGACCTGCGAGCCATCTACCTCTTCGCCATTGTTGATGAGTAGTTGGCCGGTCGGACCGACGAGGGGAGAGGAGACGGGGACGCAGGCAATGGGGACGCCGTCGATGCGGCCGTCGGGGCCCTTGGCGGCGGCTCGTTCGTATACGTGGGCGAGGAGGGCGGGGATGTCTGGGCGGCTGGAGCTGACGGGGATCCGCTGTACGAGGCCGGGCAGGAGGACGGTGCCTCTGGCGAGAGGGATAATCGGCAGGGTAGCAGTCTGTGGTCTTCCCATGGCGGTGCGAGGTCGGAGGGGAGCGAGACGGGAGGCTTTCGGGGTCGGATGGGAGGGAGCTGGGCAGCCGAGGAGCGGACGGCAGCAGCAGGGAGGAAACGTTCAGCACGATGTGGGAGCACGCGCGCGCAGGCGCAGGAATGGACGGATCAGTAGGTCAGGTATGCGTGGTGGTTGGCGATGGGGGATGGATGGAGGAGGAGGGAAGGGGCACGGAAGCGGCCGGCGTCGTTGGCTGTTGATGTCAGTCAGTCAGTCAGTCAGAAGCAAGCCCGAAGCTTCCCCCAGCTTCGGGGGTCCGACGCCCGCCCCGGTCCGACCACAGAAGCAGTGGAGGCGGCGCCTGGGGTGGTGGCGGCCTGGGGGTTCTGCCGAGGCTAAAGCCATGGAACCCAGCGTCAGTGGGGGGGCCTGCCATTCCGGTATGGATGGATGGTAATCCCGCTGGCTGCCACCTGAAGGAACCCGCTGCTGATGCTCCGCGGTCCGACGAGCCACTGTTACTGCTACTGCTCCTCGGCGCCCCGGATGACACGATTCCGCCCAATTGACGCCCCAAGACGAAGTATGGAGCCTGGAGCTACTGGTGCTTCGATCACGACAACAGAGAAAGTGCTCAGTGTCGGGCAGCGCGGGGGCCGGGCCGTGTCAGAAATCCCGCTGTCCGTCGCCGCGCGCCACTGACGCCTTGGGATGGCAACGGCCACGCCGCATCGTCTTTCAATGGATGAGCAGCAGGGCTGGCATTAATCCCTCTCAACTTGGGAGAAAGTAAAACAACGCAAGGCTCGTACTCCCATCGTGACAGTCGCCGACTCCATCACTGCGAGAGTAATGGCCCGCCTCCATCGAGTCCGAGTGCACGCACTGTCGCCAGGGCGAATGGCGACGTTTCACGTGCTGTCATGACTTTGTAGCAGTGAGACGGCATCGCACTCTGATGCCGTCTCACGAAACAGCGTCCCAGTTCAGACGCATACTGCAAGGGAGAACCGGCTCCATGGCCACCGGGTGAACCCTGTGCCTGCCTGCGTGCAAGGCGACAAACCGCTGACTCAGCGCCCTCGCTGCCTTGAGCCAGCGGCTGCCACCGGACCCACAGCAGCACCTTCGCGCGGGGCAAAAGCGTGTGTAAATCAATTAACGGAAGCGCGCCTCAAACGCGTCTCCCACCGTCCCGCCATCGTGCATCCTGCAAAACGCATCACTCCGTCACGAGCCACCACCATGTGTAAGGAAGCTTCCCCTCCCCGTTTCCCTCCCATCTCCAGCTTCACGGCGACCGTGCATCGTACTGATCTTGTGGTTCGCCATATTCTAGCAGCTTACGGCGGATACACAAAGACGTCCTACGGCGCGCAGGGCGGCGACGACTCGGGCGGCTTCTTCGCCGGCGGCTCGCAGCCGGGCAGCCAGAGCGGAGGCGGAAAGGTAGGCTCACACCACTCATCCGCTCAGACCTCGTGTCTTGTTGCTTCCCCCCCAGCTGACCGAGTGCTTGAAAACTGCAGTCCTACCAGGATGAGTCCCTGCGGCCCGTCACCATCAAGCAGATCCTCGACGCCGAGGAGCCCTTCTCGGGCGCCGACTTCAAGATCGACGGCTCGCCCGTGACGCAAATCACCTTTGTCGGCCAGGTCCGCAGCGTCAACCCCCAGCCCACAAACATCACGTTCAAGATCGACGACGGCACCGGCCAGATCGAGGTCAAGAAGTGGATCGACGCCGACAAGCAGGACGAGCCCGACCCGGGCTTCGAGCTCGACTCGCACGTCCGCGTCTGGGGCCGCCTCAAGTCCTTCTCCAACAAGCGTCACGTCGGAGCCCACGTCATCCGCCCCGTCGCCGACTTCAACGAGGTCAACTACCACCTCCTCGAGGCCACGTATGTGCACCTCTTCTTCACCCGCGGGCCTCCCGGCGGTCAGCAGCAGCAGGGCCAGAACGGCGACAGCATGTTCGTCGACGGTGGCGCCGGCTACGGAAACGGCGCGACGGCCGGCGCGAGCCTGGCCAACAGCAAGCTGGCGGACTGCTCACCTGCCGCCAAGAAAGTCTTCAACTACATAAATGACACGCCGGGGGGCAACGAAGGCGCGCACCTCAACGTCGTATCCAGCGCCCTTGGCATGTCGGTGCGCGATGTCCTTATGGCAACAGAAGACTTGCTGCAGCGGGGGCTTATTTACACGACAGTCGACGACGAGACGTGGGCCATCCTGGATTACTAGGCCGAGTGTCACGTTGTCTAGGCACGGACGGCCTGCGCAAGACAGCTGCCGGGGCCGTGGCAAGACGAGCTGGTTGAATGGGTAATTTCACGGCATTTCGGGGTTTCGGTCATGACGGAATGTATCATTTCTCTTTGTCAGTCTGGTGCCGAAATGCAAGTCGGTACGGAATAAAACAAGCATAAAGTCCCCCTTCACGCAAGACATTCTGGCCCTGTCCTCCCACATAGTCTCTGCAAGCGTACCGTAAAAGCGAACTACTTGTCACGATCCCCTCCAAAAAAGTAGAAAAAGCTTCTGTGCCGCGTGCGACTCAAACCTTGATGCCCTCGGTCGAAGATTCCGTGACCGACTGCTGTAGCACCGACGGCTGCGGCTCGCGCACCATGCAGTAGAGATACACCGGCGCCGGTCCGCGCGTCAGGGCAATCTCGCTCTTGACCTCGAAGCCAAGCTTTGCGTAGAGCTTATTGTTGGCCAGAGATGACGATTCCAGGTAAATCGGGCGATTCTCGGTATCGGCCTGTCACGGGTCCGTCAGCCTGTTTAAAATATACAAAAACAAGTATTGCTCAGTCAATTTTTGCGACCTACCCGCTCAGCCATGGTGCCGATGAGCTTGCTTGCGTAGCCTCGACCGCGAGCATTGGGCTTGGTGCCAATGTAACCGAGGTACCAGCAGTCGTTGTTCCGCTCTCCCATGACTTGCTCCCGCGCGTCGTGCAGCGCCGGAACGAGCTCTGTGAAGAAACGGCGTCTGGCTTCCGAGGGCAGAAGGTACCAGAGGCGCCAGGTGCCGCTCCAGAGCGTCGCCCACCAGTCGTCGTTGAACTTGCCTGGCGGTGTCCTGTCGCCCTGGTCAGCTGGAGAGGTCTCTTACAGACTCGCACTTGAAAACATGGCAACACGTTAACGGACAAAAGGATACGGGGGGGCTCACCACAGGGCAATGGCCTCGTAGTCTGGGCCGATTGCCGTGGCCACACCCCTGAGTCTGTACGCTGCAAAGGTGTACCTCATGATGCGCACGTGGAGATTCCAAAGACTCTCGGGGGACCGCCGCTTGTCGTTGTCCCCAGCAAGGAGGTAGACGCTCAGGGGGTCGGCGGCAAAGGCATGGGCGAGGGACAGGCCAGCCTCGTTGCGCTCCTTCATGCCGAGCTGACGAACGGTGTCATGCCAGGCTGGGGGGATCAAGGACGGGACCCGTGCTGCTTCCACGACAATGCCGGGAGCAGAGATTTGGACGGGGTTGACGACGAGGTCCATGATGGGAGCGGTTTGCTACTGGTACTACTGTCTTTACTGCTGGGCGGCTTGTCCGGCATCCATGTGTTGTTGGCCGGGCTACTCTGGCCAGTCAGGGCGGATGAATCGAACTGGAGGTTCATGCGGTGGTCGAGTCCCATCCGGACGGCGGTCTGCGATGGCTTTGTCTTGCAGAGGGCAAGTGTGTGTGTGCGTGAACACGGGCGTGAGAGCTTGCGAGATGTGAGCGTGAAAACTCGTGGGCGGCTTGCGTGCGTGTAAGTGACGGGGAAGCAGGTGCTGTCGCTCACCGAGGAAGCGACGACACGGCGCGGCACCTGCCTTATAACAACAAGAAGAGCCTCTACCTACGGCCGACCTTAGCGGGCCTGCGACACGCGGTACCAAACCTGACACCGGAAACCTTGGTAAACTCGGATTTACTACCTAGTACTGCCCAAAGTGGTGACGACAGCACAATAGCAGCCCGGCCAAGCCCTGGAGACGCCCGCGCAGATGCTTCTGGTAACGGAGTGAAACAGCCCCGGCTCGCGATGCTCCTATCGGCGACGAGGGATCGCAGCCATGGTCACCACCATTGGTGCTCCACACACACACACCTGGCCGACAGACACCAGCCGGGCTGCGTGTGTCGCCCCAAGAAGACGATGCCACCGAGAGAGTTGGCGAAGCCACGAGGCTGGCTCGTGACGAGAATGCGGGGTGCGTCTGCCCGTGGCTCCCGCCGCTAATACGGCATGCCACAGCCTAGATCCGAATCTGACATTGGGGCGGAACGTCACCCGACTGAGCTGCCCGTCATCTCGCCAGCCGGCCGACAACCGAACGCTGGGAGGGCTGCGTGGGTGCCGGGGGCGGGCGCTGGCAGTTGGCGATACGACCCGGATGCCATGGGCGTCGGACAGCCTCACCGGCGGCCGAAAGCTGAGTCGGGACCAGCTGCCCCATTCGACGGGACGGGGGCCCAGCTGGCAAACGTCGGCAGCGGCGTGCAGGCGGGTCTCGCCGCCGAGATAACGCGGCATGCAGTGTGTGGTCACGCGGCCGCAGATCGGGGCCTGGGCTATTGGGCCTGGCGCCGACAGCAAGGCAACGCAGGTCATGGACGGGTCTACCGCTTCGCGGCCGTGTTACCATCGCGGGATGCCACAGCGCCTTGGTGTGCCCGCATGATGCGTGCCGCCCGGCCGGCGCCGACGGGGGATTGTGCCGAAAACGCCTCTGGACGGGCAGGTATTATGCTAGACGACGTCTGTCTGCTCTCGGCGTGGCTAGCTACAGAGACTGAAATAGGGGAATCGACTCCTGAGGCCACATACGCAACTCTCCCTGGATGCAGCGCTTTGATATCACATGTACTTTACCTCGTCACTCCCCAGCCTCCTCGTGTTTATCTCCCTCTTCCACCTCCCCTCCCCCTTCTCCTTTACGAGGCCTCAGACATGAAAAGGTGAGGCCTATGCCGCTAGTCGTGGCCCAGCCTACAGCATGCGGCGAATCTCCTGCTCGTTCATGTACTTGTCGAGGCCCGAGTCGACGTGCTCCCACCACTCAAACAGCATCGAGTTGCAGATGAGCTTGAACCAGGGCGTGAACTTGAGCGAGGGGTCCTCGAAGAGCTGCTTGAGCTTGTCGGCGCTGACGTATTGCGTGGCCTGCACCTCGTTGGGGTTGACGTCGAGGTCGACGTTGGCCTTGATGAAGAGGATGTAGTCGACTGCAAGCCGAGCGGCTCAGTCAGTGTCCGTGTCCTCGGTGACGCTGGGGGGACGTGCTGGAGAGGGGAACAACTCACCTTCGTGCTCTCCCCACTTGCCGTCGCTCGGCGCCTTGTAGTGGATGCGCGTGAGGAAACGGAACTTCTCAATGGGGACCTGCTCCTTCTTGATTCCCAGCTCGTGGTCCAGCTTGCGCTGGGCGGCGCGCTTGGCCCCCTCGATGGCGTCGGGGAGTGTCGAGCCCGTCTCGCCCGACACGGAGAGCGGGTGCGAGCAGCACGTGTTGGTCCACATGTCGGGGAAGGTGATCTTCTCGGTGGCGCGCTGCTGGAGCAGCAGCTCGTTCTTGTCGTTGAAGAGGAAGACGGAGAACGCGCGGTGGAGGAGGCCCTTGTCGATGTTGGTCATGAGGTGGCCTGCGGCGGGGAGGGCGTGCGAGGTCAGTGTCTAGAGCAGTGCGCGTTTCCTCCCGAGAGCTGGATGTGCTGTGCGTCACGTACAGATCTTCTTGCTGGCCTTGCCGACGGGCATGTCATTGTCGTCGGTGACGATGCACATCTCGTCCATGAGGCGGATCTGCTCCTCGTCGTGACCCGATAGCGCATCGTCGGTGGTGTCAATGTCAGGGAAGAGGCGCAGGATGGTCTCGGCCGTCATGGGCTGGGCCGCCGCCGTCGTGGTCGTCGTCGTGGTCGTCGACATGGCGAATGGCGTGTCGGAGAGGCAGCAATGGGTGGTGGATTGCAGGAGGCGGTCGGCTTGAGGACGGCGATGCTCAATGCCAACAACGGGGTCCAAGGGCAATTTAAAGGACCTGGGTGTGCCGTCCCGTCTTCCCCCCGGAGCCCGCCCCCCAATTGGCATCTCAGAGGTGCCCCGCCAAAATCTGGTCCGCCGAGCCTGTTCAGGTCTCCAGCTGCCCGTGCACAGGTCAAATGGCATCAGGTGGCTCCTCACTGGCCTGGCCAGTGCCGTCTGTTGCCGCCGGCCGCCGAACGAGGCACCGGCCCCACGGCCGCCCAAGGCTTTGCCACTTTCTTGCTATTCGTGCCGCGAGGGACGGGGAAAATTGGCTGACTCATCAAGGCACGACGGGAAAGACGGGACGCTGTAGCGGATGTCAGTTGGCCGCTGGAGCCACCTACTGGTGGATTCCACCATTCGACGGGCAGCCCAGAGCATCGACCGTGCGCTGGGCCGCTAATCCGTGAGCGGCAGCGCCGCCAGCCAGGGGAACCTATTGCTGCTGCGAGGCTGGGGAGCTTCGTCACTGACCTGCACCACCACGATCCACCACCACCATACCACCCGCCAGCATCACCACCCGACCTGGAGCTGTGCTGTGCATTGTCCACGCGCCCTCTCCCCTTGCGACGCATAGGACAAGCCCGCGAGCGCAAGCCAGCCATCGCGGCTCCTGCAATTGGCAGCGACCCCCCTCCTCCCCCCGACCGCCATCCCCGCCGGAGCCGCTCGACCGCGCTCCGCCGCCGAGCATTCCACCACGATGCCTCCCAAGATTGAGGCCAAGGAGATTGAGACGTACTGGAACATATTCTCCGACCGGACGGGCGGCGGCCAGTACCTGACGGGCGAACAAGCCGCGCCGGTGCTGAAGAACAGCGGCCTGCGCGACGACCAGCTGGAACGGGTATGGGACCTGGCCGACGTCGACAACGATGGCAACCTCGACTTTGAGGAGTTTTGCGTCGCCATGCGCGTCATCTTTGACGTCCTGAATGGGGTATGCGCCCGAAGCGAGTGAGGAACGGTGCGCATAGACTTACCGACTGCTTGCAGGAATATGCCGATGTGCCCAAGTCGCTGCCGGACTGGCTCGTCCCCGAGTCCAAGGCTCACCTCGTGCAGGCCAGCCGCGCCATCACGGGCAAGCAGCCGCAGTTTGAGCAGGTCGAGGACGACTCGGACGACCAGGGGCTCAAGGACGGATTCGACTGGTACATGAGCCCGCAGGACAAGGCCAAGTACGAGCAAATCTACCAGGAGAACCGCGACATGCGGGGCGAGCTATCATGTTGGTCCCTCTGAACACCCATCTTACCGCCCAGAATTGCACGCTCTGACCATTTTCGTAGTCAATGCCCTCGAAGACCTGTACGGCTCGCTCGACGTGCCCGATACCGACATCCGCTCGGCGTGGAACCTCGTCAACCCGTCCGCCGGCTCTACCATCAACAAGGATGCCTGTCTCGCGTTCCTGCACATCCTCAACAACCGCCACGAGGGGTTCCGCATCCCGCGCACCGTGCCCGCGTCCCTGCGGTCGAGCTTCGAGCGTAACCAGATAGACTATCAGCTCGACAACCAACGGACGGGTGCGGCTTCGCGGTGGGCAGCCAAGGCTGACGACAACACGGCCACGGGGCGCAAAGCCAAGTTCGGCGACCAGTACCTGACGAGGCTCGGCCGGAGCGGGTTCAAGGCGACGGGAACCGACTTTTCGACGGAGAAGACAGAGGACTGGGAGGAGGTGCGGTTGAAGCGCCAGCTACAGGACCTCGACGCCAAGATCCAAAAGGTCGAGGATATTGCCGAGCGGCGGAAGGGCGGCAAGCGGGACTCCAAGCCGGCGCTCGTCAAGAGGGAGCTGGACCAGCTGCTGGACTACAAGCGCAAAGAGCTGCGGGAGCTGGAGGAGGGCAAGGGGAAGAGCGCGGCGGGGAGCGGTCTCAAGAGCATATCCGACGACCTGCAGACGGTGCGGGAGCAGGTGGAGGGGCTGGAGACGCACCTGCGGTCGAGGCAGGACGTGTTGGACGACCTGCGGAGGCAGATTGACGCGGAGAAGGCGGGTTAGCGCATCGTGTAAGAGGAAGACTCTGGATCCAAGCGGGTATCTTTTATTGTCCATACAGCCCCGACGTGATTATTAACTACTTGCATTATTACCCAGAGACGCGTGCCTTCCTGTTGTCCACGCGCATCTGTCGCCGACACCAACAGCCTATTACTATTACTTACTATTTCTATCTATGCGGGCAGCCTAGGCTCACCACATGCTTCCCTTGACATACTTGCTGGTGCGTTCTGTGGCCAAGGACCGGCTCTTTAGGGCCCAAACGACAAATGACGGCAAGGGAATGCTGCCGTAGCGGCCAACCCCGCGGTCCGGTCCGAGGGTGCAGAGGAAGACGTCGGTGGTGGGCAGCTTGACGGGCTCCTGGTCCTTGTTCGAGAAGGAGAGCTCAATGTTTTTGGCTACGCAGGCGGCCTGGTCAGGGGTTAGCGCACAGATATGTGTATACCCGTCTTGGGAAAGACGGGAGGAGAGTTGGATGGGTGTGGTGTGTGAGAAGGGGAGCGCACGTGAGCCTCGGTGTTGAGCAGGCCGGCCTTGGGCTTGGAGACGACGTCGCCGACGGCCCAGATATTGTCGACGCCCTTGACGCGCATGCAGTCGTCGACGTCGACGTAGCCCTTGTCGGTGAGCAGGTTCTTGGGCATCCAGCGGGTGTTGGGGACCTGGCCCGAGGTGGACAGGTAGGCGTCGGTCTCGAAGCTGCCGCCGTCGGAGAGGGTGACGACGATGGTGCCGTCGGGGCGGGACTCGCGGTCGACGCTGGTGGCCTTTGCGCCCTTGTGCAGCTCGACGCCCATGGCGCGCAGCTCGCGCTCGACGAGCGGCGCGGTCGAGTCCCCGCCGAGCAGCTGCGCGCCGAGGTGCAGCAGCAGGACCGTCTTGGCCGGGTAGGCGGCCTTGATCTCGGCGGCGAGCTCGACGCCCGTGGGCCCGCCGCCGGCGACGGTGACGTGGCCCGCGCGCTGGACGAGGTCGGCCGTTTCGCGGATGTCGCCGAGCAGGGCCTCGTACGTGGAGGAGGCCTTCCAGGGCATGCCCGCGACGGCGGCGTCGGCGCCGGTGGCGAGCACGAGGTGCGTGTAGTGGACGAGGCGGATGCCGTAGGTGGGCGTGTCGACGCTGACCGTCTTGGCGGCCGGGTCGAGGCGGATGGCGCGCCCGGCGACGTACTGCACGTTGTCGGACGGGTAGCGGTGGACGAGCTCGGGCTCGATGGCGCGGAGCACGTCGTCGGTCCCGCGCCGCAGCGCCCCCGGGATGATGGCCCGCACCGACGCGATGTTCCAGTAGAAGTGCGAGTTGCGCGTCACCAGCACCACCTTGATCTTGGGGTGCCGCCGCCGCGCGTGCTTGAGCAGCCGGTGCGTCACCGCCAGGCCGCCGAGCGAGCCCCCGACCACGACGACCACCTGGTCGAGGTCCGACACGGACGGGTAGTTGGCCACGGTCGCCCGCGTGTTGGGGTGCGTGGCGCACGAGTGAAGGAAGGACATGGTTTGGGTGCGCTCCTCGCTCGCAGGTCGCGATGGAAGTTGGCGATGGGCTTTCAGGGGCGTGTGGGCGAGAGCGTTCGTGACGTTGTGACTTTGAGAGCGTTCCGCGGGCGTCACCTTCGCCGCGTCTTGCTTGCCTCACACGCGCGCTGCAAAGACAAGCAACAGCAACAAACTACCTTAGTGGGAAACGGGGCAGTCGGACGGCGTGTGCTGCACGAGTTCCTCCTCCAGTCTATGACGGCGTGACGACAACCCACGGGGGCTCGGTGAAGCGGACGTTTAGAGTTCAGGGCCGCCCCTCAGCCAGGTGCATCTCTGCCGGCTCCGCGCAGGCGCGTGTGTTTTACGTACGACGAGAGGTCTATTCTGTGCAGCGGGAGGAGTTGAAAAAGCGCGACATGCCGTCCTAGGTGACGGAGCGTGGATGGCCCATGAGGTTGGTGATGGTGATGATGATGATGATGATGACGATGACGTGTGTCGTCGGCGTGTCTCTCCCGCCCGCGGGCGGCGGCCCGGTGTCTCAGACGGACGGGCGGGAGAGCGGCCGCCGCGCAGCGGGTTGATGTCTCGGCCGGTCGGAGAAACGAGGCACGGGCGGCCCCGCTTTTATGCCGTGCGCCCCAAACTCATTCATTCATCTGCAGCGGACGTGTGTCTAAGTCGCATTGTATCGCAGCTCGCCTCTACTTCATACAGAGTACAGAGAAGGCCGAACGCGAGCCCCGCGCATTTATTGCTGTATCAAACAGCAGTCGTGTAAGACTTCTCAAGCATAGGCATATATGGCCCCGCCGGTATGAGGTTCTGGCCGAATGGGCCCAGCGCAGGTCGTCGGCAGTCGCACAGCATGCATGTTGAATGAAAGACACACCAGCGGGATCGATGCATGAGCGAGAGTAATAGAAGCTAGCCAGCGTGGATCGAATGGACGGACAGGGCAGGGCAGAACAGGACGGGGCTCCGACGGCGCGTCCGACAGAAGTGGTCGCCAGGACGGGCCCCCGTGAGTACACACACCTTAAAAAGAAGAGGTATACGCACCTTCCACGAAGCAGCACCACCACCAGCCAGCAGAAGCCGTAATGATGCGTCGCGAAGCATGTCGAAAAGCCGCCCGAGGCCAATGAGACGCGCCGTCTGCACTTCCCGGCCATGCGCCAAGAAGGCTTGATTTCTGCGATGCATGCCGCTAGGTAGACAAGGTAGATGACCCCCCTGGCTGCCACTACCTGCTACCAGGCCTCTTCGAACCCTGCCATCATGCCTGCCTGCTTGGGCTACCTGTCTGTCTGCATGCCTGTCTGGCTGCATCCCTCCCTCCCTCCCTCCCATCCACGTCTCCAAACCCTGCCTTCCTCCCCCGCCGCGCCTCTGGGGCGTGGTCCCCCGTGCTGTCTTTATACGAGCCACGGCGTTTCACGCGTTACGAAGTACGAAGTACGAGGATGGGTGTGTGGGAGGCATGGCCTCCGTTGTTGCACTTCGTGTACGCACTCGATCGAGTCCCAAAAGCCGTGTCCAGCTTTCGTCCCGTCCTGCTCATCAATGCTCACCTATTCCCACGCACATGCAGTCGGTTCACATGCACTCTCCAAGACGCGGCCCCGCAGTGAGCTGCGCCGCGCTGCATCGCCAAGCGCTGTCACTCGGTCCCCCTGCCCCGAGCAAGGCATTCGGTCGTCGAGTGCACCTCAGTGCTCAGTGCTCACATCCGCATTAACCACTCTCACTCATCAAATCGTCACACAGCACAATCACAATTTGGGCGGCCCTGCATCTCGGCAAAACGCAAGGTATATTTTCCGTCTCGCGCTCCCGGGGGGCCTTCCGCGCGAGTGTGTATGTGAGCGCGCGCCCCAGGGGAAGCGGCCCATTAAACAATATGTCCGAAAGTCTACCTGTACACATATCGCCTTCTATCATCGCCAGGTCATCCTCACTCATTCTCAAGTGTGCCAAAACGCCGCCCCGGCCCCATGACCGACCCCTCCGTGAAAGCCCGTGACATGAAGCCGTAGGGGAGAAGGGGGCAACATGAGATGCGGCGCCCCCTCTCGGCACAGAGACACAGCGATGGCGACCCAGTCAACCGCGAGGCGAGGCTGTATGATGAGTGTGTGTGTGAGAGAGAAGTGAAAGTTTACAAAATCAAATGCTGAGAGGCCAGTGAGTGCCTGCCGCAGGTGTCACGCGTGAAGAGCGAGCGATCGCCCGTTGCGGCGGCGGCTCCCAGGACCCAACCCAATCCGTTCGTGTCCATGAGCTTCGTTCCGCGAGGTTGAGCGCGTTTACAGGGCCAGGACGGCGACGAGGGCAGCCAGGCCACCGACGGGGGCGAAGGCAGCGGCGCCGGCGGTGACGGTGGGAGGAGTGGTGGACGACGTCGTCGACGGGCCCTGCGTGGGGACCGTGGCGGTAGCGCTGGCCGTGGCCGTGCCGCTGGGCTTCTTGGTAGGCTTGGACGCACCCGAGGTGTTGGTAGGGGCGTTGGCGCAGAGCTTCTTGGCGGCGGGCAGGACCTCGTCTGTTGGAAAGGTCAGTGTGTGATGCTACGTTTTGCGGAACAGAACCAGGAGGTGAGTCGTACTGATGGCCTTGTCCTGGCCGCAGCCGGCGAGGATGCAGCCGACGGCAGCGCTCTGGACCTTGTCCATCTCGGCGCACACGCAGGCGACGTCAGCGACGTCGCAGGAGGTGGCCTGCTTGACGGCGTCCTTGATGCAGGTCTGGGCGCAGCTGGGGATGTCAGCCAGGCTCTGGGCGGAGGCCATGGTGGCCAGCGCGAGGGCGACGACGGAGAAGGTCTTCATGGTTGCGGTTGAGGGTTTTGTTTTTCTGGTTTAGAGAGGAACAAACGAAGCGAGTGACGATTTGATCCGAAAGTCAGAGACGAAAGCGAATAAGGCGGGTGATGAGAGGGAAGAAGGGGGGAGGAGGACTGGTGGGAGATGAGGCGCGGGTCTTTTGCAGTTTTATTGCATGTAAGCCCAGGACGGTAACAAGGCGGATGGCGGGCGGGCCAGGCGACGCTAGGTACCGGCCTTGGATCTTACAGACGGGAAGACAGGAAGAGCAAGAGGTGTGTGAGCATGTGCGTGTGTGTGCCAGTGCCCATGTGTTGTGGCTGTTGGCAGACCGCATGGGGATCCCATCCCGTCCATCCACCACCCAGCCCCCCGTCCAGGGCTAACGCAGGCTACGACTCACACGGACTCCCCAACGGGCAAGTTCCTAACCTTAATCAGTGCCGAGTACACTGCCCGGTTCTTCACCAACAAAAACAAGCATTCGTCGCCGGGCTGAGGGATCGCGAACAAGCGATTTGATGCCGGCGAGACGGCAGAGCCCAACCGTCGGGGACAGCAGCGTCTCGCCAACAAATACGCCGTTGTGCGGCACAGCGTCGCAAGAAAGAGCCCGTCCCAAGAAACTCTAAAGGGAAAAACCCAGCGTTGGGACCGCGGCGGGCGGCCTCGACCGACGGCCGACAGTGTTGCAGTGGGATGCGGGTGGACCAGACCCTTGGAGCCTTGCAGTGGCCGTAGCGACGAGGCGGACGGGGACGCGGCTCGCTCGCTCGCCCTCTCTCTCCATCATGCCATCCATCCGGCGGCCGATGTGCAGGATGGGGCGTGTGCGTGTGGGCGTCCCCTCTGTTTGCCGCATCGCGCCTCGCTCGTCGCTCGGAGCGGAGCCCGGTCGTGGACTCGTGGGCACTTTTTTATTTTGGGCCCGTTGGCGCAAGTCAGACAGTCACTGATCCAGTCCAACGACTCGTGGCGCCGTGCCACCCCGTTCCCGGGCTGTCAAGTGAGCTGTGTTGCCCGCAAATCGCGCCGAATGGCCTGGACGGGCTGTCGGCCTCGCGCAAGTACGAAGTACGACGGCGGCGGTTCAGCCGAACAGGTAGGGCGCCGGCGGTGGGCAAATGTCGTGCCACCCCATCTGGCTGTCATCCGCTGCCGGCGCCACCAGCCGCTGCTTATCTAGGATGCCTGAACCGACGGGGGGGTCTCTCGTACGGACGGTCGTGCGTGCGTGAGGACATGCGTGCGTGCGGGCAGATGTGCGCCCCGTGGGCGCGGTTACGGTATCTGCGGCGTGGTGTGAGATGACGACGGCGTGCGTCGCCAATCGGCCGGCGAGTCGGCCACCAACCTCGAAGAACGAGCCGCAGGCGGCGCAGACTGATCACCTCTCTCTCTGTGTCAGTCAGTCTGTGCCTCTCCTCTCGTATGCACCGTGGTTTGTACGAGGACTCGTAAGCGGTAAGCGGGAGCCGCCACGCCCCGTACGGACAGGGCTGTGGCCATCACATGCGCGCGACTGCCCGGGGAAATGCTGCTGCTGCTGCTGCTGCTCCTGGGCTGTGATGATGATGGTGGCGGTTCGTGTTAGTGAGTGGTTCGCCTGCTTCCTGCAGGAACGCCACCCGAAGCCGCGCACGGCCAAGAAGGAGATGAGAGAGGGGCGCGCCAGTGCCAGCGAGGACCGAGAAGCCCAAAGCTGGGGGTGGGTTTGCCATGCCGGCGTCTGTTTGGCCGAGCGGCGTGGAGAGGAGAGAAACATGGGCGGCGGGCAAACCTGGGCATCTGGCTCTGGGTTGGGTAGATTGTCGACGTCGCCCCGCGGAGGTAACCGAGCCTGGGGGAGATGGAAAAGATCCATTGGCAGTCCTGGAGGTCGCGGTGGGTGAAGTGGATGGCAAGGATGGGTGTGGATGCCGCTGGAGGGGTGGGTTCAGGTTGTGGGCGGCCGGCCGCTGCAGTGCCCCAAAAAAAGGTGGAAGGCGGCCCCGCCGGGTCTGCAGTGCGGCTCGAGCGCCACTTCCAGTTTTCTTCTCTATTTTTTCTGCAGCAAAATATCGCGCGACACCAGCGCAGGCACCAAGTACCGGTACCAGGTACAGGTACAAGGGAAAACGTGGGAGCCACACCAGATCCCCCCCAACACCAGCCCTGGAGGGCACCTGGGAACAAGCAACAGCCTTTGGGCATGGCGCCACACAGGGCCCCAGCGAGCGCATGTCACTGGCGTGGTGTGGCCACCACCCAGCGCAACGCATTCCCCTTTGCAATTTCCAGCGGGCGGCCCCCCTTGTCCGTGGGCTTTTTTTACGCCTGCTCCTTCGCTTCCAGGTTGCTGGCTGGCCTCAGATGCTGCTACTGCAAATAATAATAAAAAAGCGCCTCCGGCATTCCGCTCAGTCCGGACTAGTAGCAGGGTGCAGCGGCGGCACCCGAGACCCTCGACGAGATAGAGTTGAATTGAAGGCGCTCTTGCCTGCGGCACCGCCAGCCCGTGCAACACCAAGAGTAAGACGCCGTCATGTAAGCGTCGGAGCTGTCTTCCCAAAGCGGCCCCCCCGGCGCCCGCTTCGGTGACATGTGAAGACATTCCCGGGGGTGGATGCCGCGCCCGGCGGGCGATCGGCCCTGTTGGTTGGCCAGCCCGGACATTGCGATTCCTGTTTTCTCGCAGTCGGTGTCTCTCTCTGAGTGTGTGTGTGTGTGTGTGTGTCTGTCTGTGTCTGCGTGTTGGTGATTGATCGTTGCCGTTGTTGATACGGTGCCGCACTGTCCGGCCCTGCAGTTGCATTCGGTAGTCCGGCGCTGGTCGGTACACTACTCGTACCTTATCTTGGGTTGCCGCCCGCGGCTGCAGCCTGCGGTGCGTGAGAGGGTGTGGGCGCGTTAGTGGACGTGATGAATGTCGGTGCCAACCAACCTTGTGAATAGCCCCTCGAGGTCCTGTAATAATTCCCCGCGAGACCGGCGATCCTGCTGGTCCCGCGCTGATTGTCAAATTTCCATTGCAGTAAGCCCGCCTGGCCGCTGTTTGGCTGACTGGCTGGGGCCCCGGGGGGGAGGAGGCGGGCACGGGCCGGCCAGTGTGTCATGCACCGATCGCATGGCGTCGATGCCCAGCAGCGGGACGCGGAGCGGCGCGAGCTTCCTCTGCTGCATCCATCGTGGCCTTTTTCCCGTCGTCGCACGTAGCCGTTGCCGTCACCCTCTCAGCCCCGAGGCGCGTGACGGAACGTGGCGTCCATGGCTGCTCGTGTCGCACAGAGACACACAAACACTCACCGCACACGTTTCTCGGCGGCATTGCAAGTACGAGTTACGATATACGATATCGCAGGCACGGGCGCTCGTAAAATACTGCGTTTGCTGTACCAAAAGACTCAAATCAAGAATTGATCATGTACATAGAAGGTTACAGCGTTGTATCTGTTCGTTCAATACCCAGAAACCAAGAAAAAACCCCGAGCCTCGCGCTTCGTGACGTACAGTACAAGGACCATCTATATACAATTATGATATGCGTGAAAATGCCGTGCCGTGAGTATCCGTGGATGTTGATGACTTGCTGCCCACCCGTCTATAGACTGACCGCCGCTTCGTATGCTGTACCGGACAGCCGCACCCGGTAGAGAAACGCCCAACCCCCGCCGCCTCCCGCTCTATGACCCGTTGACGAGCTTGACGCGCTCCGCCACCTTGGCCTTCTTCTGCTCGGCAGACAGCTTCTCGTAGCCCGCCACGTCCTTGTCCCACTGCTGCACGCACTCGACGTTCCAGTTGCACTCCTCGACCTGGCCGTACGCCGGGTGGTTGTAGCGGTGGTGCCGGCTCGGCCAGTTGCTGGCGTGGTAGTGGTGCTTGACGAGTGCGCCGCGCGAACCGTGGTTGCCCGAGTCCGAGTGGCCCTGCCCGGCGCAAAACGCCTCGACCGTGAGCACCAGCACCCGGCCCACGACCTTGGACTCGTCCATGTGGTGGAAGTCGTCCCACGTCACCTTGGCCGCGCCCTTGGGCTGCTGCCGGTTCATCTCCTCCAACAGCGCCGTCGTAAACGCCGATGGGCCTGTGCCCGTGATGACCTGGTCAAAGTCGAGTTCCACACGCGAGATGGGCACGCGCTGCTTCTTGGCCACCCCCTTGTACCACTTCATGATGTTCTCGACGAGCTTTAGCATCACCGGGTGCCGTGGCTTCGCGATGATGGTCCACTGGCAGAACGACTGCGACTTTTGCCCCAGGATCGGGTGGTCCTTGAACTGCGGCTCGTCCACCTCGATGCCCACCACCAGGTCGTACTCCTCCTCGTTGTGCCGCTCCGGGAGGAAGCGGTGGAACGGCTTGAGCGCCTCGACGTCAATGTCGGCGTACACGCCGCCCTCTGCGTACAGAATCATGTAGCGCAGCAGGTCCGCCTTGATGATGGGGAGCTTCACGTTGCGGTAGAACTCGACAATGTCCGGGCGATTGACGCCGTCGGGGCCAAAGTGCTCCTCGACGTACGTCATCTCGTTGCTGTCGGTGATGACCTCGTACCGCATCTGCGGGTTCTTCTGCAGCCATGTCGTGGCGCGCACCGTCTCCGTGATGCCGAAGAGCAGCGGGTCAATCTTCCACGTCTGCCATATCTTTTGCGGAAATGTGCTCCCGGGAAGCCTCGCCGGGGGAGGGACCTGCTCGTCGTCTGTGATGCGGGGAAAGGCGTCGAGGTTGAGGTAGATGAAGATGAGGAGGACGACGGCGACGTAGACGGGGACGGCCTTCTTAAGGCGTCGGGGAAAGGGAATGTTCATTGGCGAGAGCTTGAGGGGAGGAAGCTTGACGGGAGCGAATTTGTGCGTGGGCGTGAGCGGCGGTGTGTCCATCTTCTTCATGGCTGGCGCACTTGTAAATCCCGTCCAGGTGCTGGCCAGTTGTCGTGGGTGAGGGCTCCGAGGCTGTCAGGAATCCTTGTGAGCGCTGTTGTGGTCTGCCAGCATGGCGCAAGAAACGGCAGATAAGTCGTCAAGCACCGACGCCGGAGACGCAGCGCAACACCAGGAGAGTTCGAACTGCGAGGCAAAGGGTTGTTGCTGGGTTGGCGGGGGGGAGGAAGAGAGAGTACAGCAGTTGGCGTCAAGGAGGAAGAGCACGCCAAGTCGACAGGTCGGACAAACCTCGTACGAACTTACGACCACCAGAAAAAGGTACGTACATGCGACATGCACCGGGACAGGTCATGGGCGCATGACGGGATGCCGCACTCATCAACTCGCGGGAGGTGGGGGGTGGGAGAGGCGGCCAAAGCCAAGCCCAGCACGTGCGATGCCAGCCGCCCAGGCACTGATCCTTGGGATGGCGATATGGTTTTTCTGCGCGTGGAAAAAAGCCACTGCATCTGGCCATGGGCCTGCGCGCCAGAAAGTGAAATTGGCTGCCCACTCCACTGGCGCACGGCAAAGGCGTGCCTAGCCAGCCTTGCCCAACGAACGCTATTCCGATCCACGGGAGACGCTGGGCCAGCGCTCGACTCGCGCGCTAGCGCCCGCTCGCTTCCAGGCCGCGGGTCAGGCTTCTCAGTGGAGGAACAGTGGAGGGACTGGGTCTGGCAAGGTTCGGCCGGGGTCCGTCGAGCGCACCGTTGCAGGGACTCGTCTGGGGCGGGCCATTGGCTTCTTGCGGCCTTTGCGAGGTCCTGGAAGGGCAGAAGGCCGGGAGGCGTGCGCCCACAGGCCGGGGGAGGGGACGATCAATGCTATCAGCCAGCATGGGTGTGCGATGCCATTGCCATGGGCGCCGTGGGTGGTGGGAGTTGATGGTGGTGGTGGGGGGTGGGGGCATGGGGGGCACGGCCGAGCGAGCCTCGGCCGGGGTTGCCCTGCCTGAAATTTCACCACTGCACCACTGCAACAGCGCCTGCGGTGTCCGAGGCAGACGGTCGATGTACCGGTACGAAGGCGCCAGAGTGTGCGCGCCACAGGGCGCTTTCGCTCGAGCAGTCAGGCAGTTCCCTCTGCCTGCCAGTGCGTCCAGCGACACACTGGGCTGGCAGTGCATCTGGGCATCTCAGCCGACGCGGCCGCAGTCCTTCGTCCCACCCGACTTGCCACAGTGTTCGTGTTCATCCATAGGTACTGGCCCAGGTGCCTGCCCCCGGCGTCATCCCACATGTGGCTCCTGGTCGTGGGCCGCGGCGCCGCCAGCATCTACCCGCATCGAGGCGGCGCGATCCGTTTCTCGTCGTCGTCGTCGTGGTTGCCGCCGTCGTCATCACCAAACATCATCATCACCACCGCAAGAAGCTCGCGACCTGCGTCGTTGTCCACATTGACAGCGCCCGAGGACCCTCATCATGCCCTCGGTCTCGTCCGGTCTGCTCGGCGGCGACAACTGGGACGAGGCAAAGCTCGCCGCCGCCTCGTCCGACTCCGACTCCGAGGCCGCCTACCCGGGCCGCCGGCAGGCCTCGTGGAAGTCGGAGCCCGCCCGCATCGTCAGCCGCCTCAGGTCCTGGCTGCGGCTATCGTCCCACGGCGCTCAGAACCCGGGCCCGACTGCCTACCTGGACGGCCTGCGCGGCTTCGCGGCGCTCCTCGTCTACTGGCACCACCACGAGCTCTGGGTCCGCAACCCCTTCATCTTCGAGAATGCCTTTGGCTTCGAGGGCAACTTTTACTTTGCGACGCTGCCCGGCGTCCGCACCTTCTTCACCGGCGGCCACTACTCGGTGACCGTCTTCTTCGTCCTCTCGGGCTACGTCCTCTCCATCAAGCCGCTGTCCCTCATCGAGAAGGGCGACTTTGCCGGCCTCAGCGAGCATCTGGCGTCGGCCCTTTTCAGGCGCTTCTTCCGGCTGTACCTGCCCCTCGTCGCCGTCGTCCTCGTCTATGCGACGTCATGGCATCTCTTTGGGTACTGGGTCGACACGGGGACGATCCCGCAGAGCACGTGGCTGGGTGAGATGTGGGCGTTCTATCTCGAATTCAAGAACTTTAGCTTCATCTTCAAGGAGGGTGGCGAGCCGTGGATGACCTTTCACCGGCACATCTGGTCCATCCCCGTGGAGATGAGGGGCTCCATGATCGTCTTCAGCTCGATATTGGCGCTGTCGCGATGCACGCGCAAGGCCCGCGTCTGGTGCCTCGTCGGCCTCATCTTTTACTTCCTCTACATCGCCGACGGCTACTACGGCTCCATGTTCCTCGCGGGCACGTTGCTGTGCTACTTTGACATGCTGTCCAAGGCAGACCAGCTCCCGGCCATCTTCGAACGCCTCAGCAAGTACAAGATGTTCATCGTCTACCACATGCTGGCCATCTCCATCTACCTGGGCGGCGTCCCGAGCCACAACAACGACATGGACCAATTCGCCAGGAATCGCGGCTGGTACTACCTGTCGCTGCTCAAGCCGCAGGCCGTCTTCGGCTACAAGTGGTTCTACCTCTTCTGGGCAGGGACGCTGCTGGTCGCGGCGGTGCCGCGCATCACCTGGCTCAAGGCCTTCTTCGAGACGCGACCCTGCCAGTACCTGGGCCGCATCTCGTACGCGCTGTACCTGGTTCACGGCCCCGTGCTGTGGACCATCGGCAACAGGCTGTACATGATGGTCGGGTGGAAGACTGAGAAGCAGCTCGAGGCGATTCCGCAGTGGGGGGACTGGTGGTCGCTGCCGCAGGTCGGGCCGACGGGGCTGGAGCCGGCGTTCCTGCTGCCGCAGCTGTTGCTGATGCCGCTCACTCTTTGCCTGGCCGACTTTGTGACGAGGTCGGTGGACAAGCCGAGCGTTCGGTTCGCAAGCTGGCTGTACAGGTCGACACTGCCGGAGGCGCCGGGGAAGCACAACCGTGCATAGGCGGGCATGATACATCTCCATACTACATCAGACATGATACATGATACATGGGTAAGGTAGTGCATTTAGCGTTTTCGGTAATTTTAGAAAAAGCATCTCTACGAAGCATGGCGTTCCAGATCGTGTGTGGCTTCGCCGGAGCTGGAGAATTGGCCGATCTGATGGTGAAGATTTATTTCCTTTTCGAAGCAGGAGGCCGATGCCATGGCTTGCTGTACAGTGCGCCGAGGCGACCTGCACGAGCGGCACTGTGGTGGACGCTCCAGGAGTGCGCCGGAGCACGAGTCAAGGCGTCCACCCCCCCATCGCCGGCACTAACAGGTGCCAGTAATTTTACCTTCCCCATGGCCTTGCGGCACGCGTGGGTAGGTTGGCTCTGGACTCTGGGGCGCGCCTCAGCCAGACGCGGGCGGCGGCGCAACCGCTAATGCACACACGGGTAAGCACAATGTCGCCGCGCTGCAGATCGAGACGCACGCCCGCCTGCAAAAAGGAGAAGGCAGCGTGGGAGGCAGGCACATGCTTATGGAAGACGCCCAAGGAAAAAAAAAGGGCGCGCGGGCTGCCAACCATGGAACCAGCTGGCACACGAGGCGTCCGAATAACCTTGCGGCTGCATGACGCTCCGTCCACTCGTCGCCGCCGCCGTCGACTTTTTGTTTTAATTAATTTCTCAAGTCGCTTGCTGTCCCGCTTACCTTTTGCCTGCCTTGGCTGACCTGTCGAGAACCCCGTTTCCTCGCATCTGACGTCTGGACGGACCAGGCCTCCGGAGCGAACAAGTGACGACACACCCCTGTCATTCGAGGCAGCGCGACAGCCGGTCTCTTGCCTTGGGTCTTTTTTGGATGCTGCCCGCTGCGCGCCATGGCAGACGAGGCCCGCGCGCACGTCAGGTAATACTACAGCTTTAGGTTTCAGGTCCCAAGCTTCTTCGTCCACGACCCGACGAACCGCTGCCCCGTCGCTCGCCCCCGCGTACAAGGGAGCCAAGAAACGACCGTCTTTTTGCTGCGCGCGTTGCTGCCGTTGCCGCTGCCGCTGCCGCCGTCGTCGCCGTTCGCCCGCTAATACTGCGCTCCCGAGCTTGGCATCGATCGCGCAGTGGCCCTGCTGCCATGCTCTTGCGAAACGTCCACCGGCTGGCCCTGCTGGTCGGCCTGGCGCTCGTGTGTCTCTACGCAGCGTCGCACTACGGCGGCCTGTCGAGTCGCAGCTGGTCAGAGGCGTCCAAGCTGCAGTGGCCGAAGCCAAACTCCAAATCAAAGCCGCCAAAGGGCGACAACGCCGACGAGCATGACGACAACGATGGCGCGCACGGCTCGCAATGGGCGGCGGCGACGCCTCAGGACGGCAAGAGCATGACGCCGGACGCCTTCAAGGACGCTCAGCAGCAGCACCAGGAGGTCTTTTCCGTGTCGACGCCCGACAAGAAGTTTGTGCGCATCGACTTTGGCGGCATGGACGCCTTCAACCCCAACATCCTGCCGCACCCCGACGCCGACGACATCTGGATCGTCGTGGCCCAAAAGGTCAACGCCGAGCCGTCGATCGAGTTCAAGGAGGTGCACTGCGAGGCCATCATGTGGGATGGCGCCCTCCGCTGCCGCGCGCCTCCCGCGCCGCTGCTCGTCGCTCCCACGGAGGGGGGTCAGTGCAAGGGCGACCTCGAGTACTTCAACCTCAACATCGGGCCGCACGACGCCCGCGTCTTGTTCGGCCCCGAGCAGCCATATATCACCTTTGGGTCCAACTCCAAGTTCACCTGCTTCGGCCAGTTCGTCCAGAACTTTGCCGGGCTGATCGGCTGGAACGGCGACAAGCCCGTCCCCGAGACCGATTTCCGCAACGCCACCGAGCTGCAGCGCCCGGCGCCCTACGGCAAGATGGAGAAGAACTTTTTCCTGTTCTGGGACAACAAGGGGCAGAGGTACGTCCACCAGGACGTGTTCCCCGCGCGCGTCTTCACGCAGCTCCGGGACGACGGGTCGGTCGGGCCGGACCTGGCCACGCACGCCAGCGCCCGCGACGCCAAGTGCATCGCCAAGTACATGCCGCGGCCGGCGCCGGAGCTCGAGTCGATCCACCAGGCGACCAACTCGCTCAAGGTGACCATGTGCCGCAAGGCAGACGCGGGGTGCAAAGCCACCGACGACAACACCTTCATCTTCACCATCTACCAGCACAAGACGTACTACAACTTCCACAGTGTGTACGAGCCGTACCTGATGGTGATTGAGCAAAAGCCGCCGTTCCGCATCCACGCCATGTCCAAGCGGCCGCTGTGGATCTCGGGCCGCGAGCGGCACCCGGCCACCAACTCGTCCGACATGTTCTACGTGACGTCGATGAACTGGAAGGGCCGCGGGAGGCGCTACAGCGGGTTCCTCGACGACGAGCTGTTCCTGGCGTTTGGCATCGAGGACAAGAAGGCGGGTGCCATTGACGTCCTCGCGGGCGAGCTGCTGGGCGACCTGGGCCTGTGCGCCGGCGTCTAGGAGAGACGGGCGGCGCCGGAGCGAGTAAGAGAAGGGAAATGCGGTCCGGTCGCTCGGCCTAGGGATTTGCGGGCAAACGGGAGGCCGCGCGATGGGACTTTTGTGTATGTGTGTATATGAGTATATGAAGAGCGCAGCCCAGACGGCTGGCTCTGGTCTTTGCAGAGTAGGCGTCACATAGATGGGTAGGTCACGCCGCGCTACAAAGTGCAATGCGGCGACCAGGTACGATATTGAACGGATATACGGCGGATCATACAAGGTAGAGATGGATAGGATGCTACCGTCGCCAGCTAAAGGCTGCTTACTATGGTCTCTTCTTTTCCAGTGATCTTGTGAACCCGGTGAGGCCGAGCAAGACACTGGAGACCCCGCGGGGTCGGTCGGTTCGCAGTTGAGACAGCGTTGACAATGACGACGTCTCAGACATGGCGGTTCGTGGACGGCGGCACAAGAGCTCCAGCCGCATTTGACACTCGGTTCAGGATATCTTCTGCACAGCTGATGGGGTTGATCGAGTGAGGAGATAGACTCACGTACAAGGACAAAATCGAGTACTGTGTCCTCGTACCTTGACCACGGGCATCAGGCATGGCCACGCACCGCCACGATGTAGCCGTCTTCCGAGGTCCATGGTGATGTGGGCACTCCAGGCAGAGCAGCAGCAGGGGACCATCCTACCATGTACAGTGACAGTCGCTCCAGTGGCACAGCAACAGCATCATTATGATACTATGTCATGACATCCAGCCCTGCCATGCCATGCCGTGCCAGGCTCGTGCGAGGAAACGAGAAGCGTCACGTCTGCTCCGCCGCCGCATGACGAAGGCAAGTGACGGGCAGCCGCCTGCCTCCACCTTCGTTCGCATCCTGTCGAGTCTCTCTCCCCAACGCTTGGCCCCGCACGGCCCAATCAATCACGCTGCCCCGCGAGCCCCTCCGTCTGCCACCGCGTGCCAGCTCCAACCTCCCTGCCGCCCCTCCCCACGCCACGACCGCCTTTCTCTCCTCCCGCCCGCTCCTCTCTTCCCCCAACAACTCGACCTCGCATCATCACGAGCTTTCCCCTCCACTCTTCCAGCGTTTCAGGAACCAGCAACTTCCCGCACCGCATCGCGTGTCTGATCAGCCCACAGCGTGCTTATCGCCCTCCTCTGCTCCGCATCCCTACCCGCCCTCCCAACGAACCGCATAACCGGACCCCCTCCCCAAGCCGCCCACCATGGCTCAGACCGAAGCTTTCCAGAAGGCCGTCGTCGACTCCAAGAAGCTGACGAGCAAGCCGAGCAACGACGAGCTGCTCGACCTCTACGGTGAGGCCCCCCGCCGTCGTGGTGGAGAAGCTCCCGCTCTTCACTCCTGCTGACACCGCCGCAGCCCTCTACAAGGTCGCCATCGGCGAGGACATCTCCAAGGCCGCCGCCCCCGGCATGTTTGACCTCAAGGCAAGCGCCCCCGTTCCCCCTTTTCCCATCCAGCGCCTTGATCACCCCGAGGCCCCTCCTTACCCTCGCTCCTTTCCGCTGCGCTATGTATTGCCCAGGAACACGCCCCCGGCTGACACTTTCCGCTCCCGTCGCGCAGGGCAAGGCCAAGAAGAACGCCTGGCAAAAGGTCGTCGACGAGGGCATCACCGCCGAGCAGGCCCAGGAGCGGTACGTCGAGCTCGTCGAGAAGCTCAAGGTCTCGTGCGGCTACGACGAGAACAAGGAGCCCGAGGCTGTCGGCAACTAAAGCGAGCGACTCGAGTCGACGTCTATGCCAATGCACATACACCATACACACGTCTTAGTATTACGCATACACGGAGGAATGATACCACGGGGACTGGTGGCATAGTATTGAGATGTATCAAGACTTTGAAGAAGCCCGACTCTTTATTTTGCCGAGGCTCCGTTGGTGCTGGCCAGCGGGCGTGAGCTATCCCGGGGCAGGCCTTGGACGCTGCACTGGGGCGGTTGTGCCTGTCCGTCTGCACCGTCGGTGCATGTCCGCAAATGTTCTCGAATTGCCGCTGTTCCTGTCGCTATTCTTGCCGTTGCCTACAGGTGTTCGAACGCAAGCCATTGTGCTCAAAGTCCGCGTCCAGGCTCACCGAGCTGACGTGCAACCGGCGACGTCATCCATATCCCCTAAGACTCCACGAGGGTCCAGTTTCCCCCGAACCACACCGTCGTAAGCGCGCAATCAATGTTCGCGCGTGCGGGCGCGTAACACCTTGCCGCGCAAAAGGCGTCATTATGCCCCGTGCGGCGACTTCTTCTTGGGGAATTCCGAGCTGGGGTTCGGTACCCGCGATGTCAACCTCATAAGCGGGGTCCAGGGCCTAAGTCGTTGGAACTTGGTGGCGAGGATGCATCGTCACCTGTCTCTGTCACTTTGTTTCCTCAACAAGAGGCACAAAAGTCGACTTGGTTTCCGAGCATCGCCATGATGTTATCCACCCTCCGCGCGAGCCTCCTGCTTCTACTGAGCCAGCAGCTGCTCGGCTCAGGCATCGCATCCGCCGCCGCCGCCGCTGAGCAGCATGTCCTCAAGCCGCCTCCCCAGCGACACCAGCACGCCGTCGACCCGGCGATCCTCCGCGCCCTCGAAGCGCACGCCGACCCTGTCGACGCGCTGCTCTCCCTGCGACCGAGCCTGGCGGCGGAAATGGCCGAGCCGCGCCTCCTGCACGTCTCGGGCGATGCGGCGCCGCGCTGGATGACCGAGGGCGACAAGCTGCGCCTGCGCCGCCAGCGCCGCAAGTTTGCCGACGTGACGGACCATGAGGACGTCTACTACGCGATGAGAGCGGAGGGAGGGACAGGCGCCCTGGCGGACAAGGCTCGTATGTCTATCCTGATTCCGACCTGACTGAGTGAGATGGGGGTTTCTTTCCTCTCGCGCGCAAGGCCGCAAGAGTTAGAAACAGGTTGTGCGAGAATGAGCTGAGCGTGGCCAAGTGTTGACGGAAACTTGCACTCCTCTCTAGATCTCCCTGAGCTGGTGAACCAGCGCCTCGTCAAGCCGCTCATCGAGCAGGTCTCGATCGCGGAGATGCGCAGCAACTTGGAGCACCTGACGAGCTACTACACGCGGTACTTTGGCAGCACGACGGGCGAGCAGAGCGCGCAATGGATCCACGGCCAGGTCGCCGAGGTGAGGAAACCTCTTGTCCCCCAAGATGCCCCTCATTCCCCCGTGTCCAGACGCAGGAGACTTATGTCGGCGTAACACATGTATACAGGGGATGCTAAGAAGGAGAGCAGATCATCCGCACCGCGCCCTTCCACACGCACATCTCGCTCGAGTACTTCCCGCACCGCTTCCCGCAGCCGAGCGTCATCGCGCGCTTCGAGCCCAAGGCGCGCAACGCCTCGCTGCCGCTGACCGTCGTCGGCGCGCACCAGGACTCCATGAACTACCTGTTCCCGCTGCTGCCGGCCCCGGGCGCCGACGACGACGGCTCCGGCACCGTCGCCATCCTCGAGGCCCTGCGCGTGCTCGCCCGCAGCGGGTACACGCCGCGCGGGGGGCCCGTCGAGTTCCACTGGTACGCGGCCGAGGAGGGCGGCAACCTGGGGAGTCAGGCCGTGGCGCGGTACAAGAGGGAGTCGGGGGCGCGCATCGGCGCCATGCTCGAGTTTGTGAGTTCCTCTATTTCGTCTCTTTTCTTTCAGCGGAGAGGGGGGAATAGTTTTTCCCACGGATATAATGCCGGTTCAACCTGAGATACTGACGACTTCTCTCCGTGCCCCTGAGTAGGACATGGTTGCGTTCATCGCGCGCAACTCGACCGAGTCCATCGGCCTGGTCGAGACCATGGCCGACGGCCCGCTGACCAACTGGACGCTGAACCTGGCCCGCGAGTATACCTCTCTGCCGGCCAGGGCATACAAGCTGCCTGCGTAAGGCCCCCGCCCCTTCTCGCCCCCCTCCTGCTCGCTGACCATGAGGGAAATGAAAACAGCAACGCCGGCTCCGACTACATGTCCTTCACCAACTTTGGCTACCCGGCGGCCTTTGCCACCGAGGGCAACCCCATGGCGGGCGGCGGCCTGCCGGGCGACTACGACCCGTACGTGCACGGCGTGCGGGACACGCTCGACGTCGACGACGAGACGGGCGTCTTTTCGTTTGAGGTGAGTAAAGCCCGGAAGTGAATATCCAATATTCATGTATCTCAAGTCCAACCCTACATACCTACCTACCTACCTACCTCCCTACCTCTCCCTCCTGTCCGTCCAATTGCTCGGCATATGTTCTGGACTGGCAAAAGACTGACGCAAACATACTCAGCACATGGCTCGGTTCGCGGGGCTCGCCATCGCGTTTTCCGTCGAGCAGGCTGGGTGGGATAACACGTGGAGGTGATGTAGTTATGTTGGCTAGAACTACGAAGTACTTCGTAGATGCATGTCGCCTCGTGCGTATCTGCGTGCGTAGTACAGACAGTATCGAAGCCCCAAGGCGAGAGACAAAGAGAGTCCAAACGAACTACAACGTGTCTGATTTATATTATGTGCGCAGTGCGAGGAAACGTAGTCACCACATAATAGGGAATGCATGCACGCATGCTCGTCGTATAACATGACCTCACCGACGACACAGGCGCGGTCTATCTCCTCCAATGTTCCGTCGAGACAATCGCCATCACAACTACCGTACCTACATACCTACCTCCCTTACCTACCTTGGAGCTCCTCTCGCGACGCACGCAGTAGTAAAGAGCAGAAGAAGACCTCGTCCCACCAAGTCGCACATTCTTATTCACTCATACACATTCACACATACAGACACACGCACGCACGCACACGCACATGCCCCAATCAAATCCACATGGCACCCGCCCGCGCGCCCGCCCGTCCACCCGCCAGGATCAATCAATCCCCGTCACCAGGTATCCATCTATCCAGGCATCTAGGGTCCTGCTTCTGCTTCGCCGCGCTCCTCCTCCTGAACCCCCCTCACGCCGGAGGATCGAAGCTGCGACCCCCGAGCCAGACGCCATTCCCGCAAGAAAAAAAAAGGAAAGAGCTGCGCCCCGATTTGGCTGGGCTCTAAACTCTATCGCCCCGATGCAACGCGCCCAACATTCCGACGGTGACACCATTCTCCACAACCCGCCCCAAGCTCGGCCGAGTCGTGTAAGTCGTCGGGCGCCGAGTAAACAAGGACCGGCCCGAGGCACACAAACCCAGCAAGAGAGGCGCACAGAGTGAGAGAAAGAGGACAGACACACAGAGAAGACAAGAAGCAGGCGGACAAGCGCGCGTGTGCAATGCCGAGTTACAATTGTTTACTAGGGCCATTAAGCGAATAGATACATGCGGCGGCCCGACGTCGGGCAGGGACAGGACAAACACCCCTTGACCAAGGCAGAGAGAGTATATCCAACCCGACCGGCGCCCTCGCGAAAGGGAGCAACTAGGTATAACGCGCGCGCGGGGAGGCCAAGCAATCCCTCCAAGAGATGCCCACAACCAACGCCAGCCGCCTCGCCTCCCACCCCAAACACCATAGAAAGAGATCAAACCGCGGCCGACTCCCGGTAGGGTATTACTCGAAGTCGCCAGAAGGGGAATCGTCGCAGCAAGAAAAGGAGGAAAAGGATGATGCAGGTAGGTGAATTCACACAAAAAAATGGCAGGCCCGTGCCCACGCAACTCGGGCGATTGCACCGCGACCATCGTCGTCGCACCGCCGTCGCGACCATTGCCGGCGCTCCGTTCGTAAGACTCGTAACTCGTGGCTGCGCTTGAGCCTGTCGCGTTGGCACTTGGCTTCCCGGGCTCCAACGCCTCCACTCGTCATCGGAGCTCCGGGCCGTCCGCGCCCCCTATCCAGCACGGCACCGTGGGCCGGCTTACAGGAGGGCGACGACACCGGCGGCGACCAGCAGAAGGGCGCTGACGCCAGTGGCGGCGGCGGCGTTGACGTTGGTCGGCGGAGGAGGGGGCAGGCTCTTGGTACCCGAGGGAACGACCGCGCTGGGCTGTGTGGGCTGGGCGGTGGTGATGGTGCTGTTAGCACCAGTCCAGGCGGTGGTGTAGCCGGAGCTGCTGGGGCAGACGGTGGTGTTCTTGTCCTTGGTCTCGGTGACGATGGCGATGCTCGTCGTGGAGGGCTTCGAGGTGGTGGTGGGAGTCGTCGAGGTCGAGGTGGACGAGGTGGTGGGAGGAGGAGTCGACGTGGTGGACGGCTTGGTGGTGGAACGAGCCTGCTCGAGACCGCCGGTGATGGTGTAGGCGGCGGCGCACGCGGCGAGGTCCATGGACTCGGGGCAGCACCAGGTGCGCTTGGAGTGGTCGTGGGTGCAGTAGTAGCCTTTGGCACACGAGTCTATTCTCTGCGTCAGCACATGGTCAAGTCAGGAGGAGCGCGCGCGCGAGAAGGCACTTACTGCCAGAGCCGTCCGTGCAGCACGAATCGCCGGCGGCGGGGTTGAAGCAGTGGGCGACGTTGTCAGACGTGGTGCACTGGTCGTAGCCGGCGCCGCAGGCCTCGGCGCAGGTGTTGCCCTTGCCGCACTGGGTCGTCTCGGGCACGTAGCCGTTGGTGTCGCGGCGCTGCAGGCTCTGGCCGGGGAGAGGCATGACGGCCAGGCGGTAGGGCTGCATCTTCTGGGGAGACGCGGCGGCGCCGGCGATGGACGCCGCGAGGACGGTGACGGAGGCGAGGAAGTGCATCGTGGCGGTTTGCTGTTGAGGTCAAGGAGCGTGTGTGGTGGTTATTTTGTCTCGGAACGAGGAAGGCGACGCGTCGAGAGCTGTTGTTGTTGCTGGTGCTGCTGCTGGCTGCTAGGTCTCACGAAAGAGTGGAACGAGTATTTGAAGCAATACTCTGAGGAGCGGACAAACAGGTGAGCCTGCAAAAGGAGACCTCGATGGGCCGACGAGCGCGTCTTGAGTGGTGGTGAGAGTGAGAGTGTGCGAGAGAAGGCGGAGGCGGGCGCCGCAAGAGGCGGTGCCAGGGGGAGTCCTTTTAATTTCCCGGGCGTCGTTGCCCAGGCGAGTCTGTCGTCGCCAGTTCCAGTGCCAGCGGCGGCGGCGGCGGCGGGTCCCCCATCCATTGTGTGCTCAGCACGGGTGCATGCTGTGACTGAGCCAGTGACTGAGAGAGTGAGTGCCCTGGCCTGGCCTGGCTGCTGCTGCCCGCCCTGGCATCTGGCCTGACCCGGCGTCGTCCCGTACCCTGGCATGGACTGCGGCTGGCCCGTGCTCACTGGGCCACCACCACCACCACCTCCAAGGCCCCCAGGGCTCCAGCTCTTTCCCTCATCCAGCCAAGTCAGGCACCGCCGCGCTAACGCAACGCCGCGCCCGCCACCCTGGCCAGCACTGGCCGGCCACTGGTCACTGGGCCACCCAAGCTTCTTGGGGGACAGGGACGCTGAAGCCCGGCCATACCGGATGCGGTCAAGCGGACAGGGCAGCCCCTTGCAAGGCCCGCTGGCCCCCAGATGCCCCTGTAATTGCCGCTGGGACCATGGAAGAGAAAGGTCCGCCCAGTGGACAGGCATCCACTGTCGAACGCTGCAACGTGCACTGACTGGGCCCTCTGCAGCATGCGAGTCTCAATCTCAATGCCGCCCCCTTGCCGTGGAGAAACGATTTGCCCTGGGGCGCCGAAGGAGATGAACACGATCAAAAATCTTGGAACGGGTGGACACTGTCGATTGATTGAATGAATGCTTGATTGATTGTTTCAATGCTACGGCGGCGGCGGCGTCTATTGAGGCGACAGACAGACAGACAGGGGCCACGAAGCGCGCGCGCTCTTCTTCACCGCAGGTAGCATCGCAGACGGCTCAGGGCCGGGTGGCAATCCTGCTGGGCGGCGGCCTTGGCTGGGCGGCCCAGGCTGATTTGGATCTGCGTACCATCCTTGCGCTGACGAGAACCTCGTCTTCATGCTCGGCCGCCCGGCCGGACTTTGGCACAACGCATCAACGAAACGGTACCCGCACACGGCAGACGTGGACCGCCCGCCAGCCGCCACGCATCTCGCGATCCCTCGGCCGCCTCATCCGTCCGGACAAAGCCGACCGCGCGCGCGCGCACATCACTGCCCTCTTTTCGCTTACTGACATGGCTCACTTACAAAAACAGCTCAAAGGAGATGTGTGGCCCCTCCTCCACGCCACTCCAGCCAAACGTGGTCGCCCGCCACACCAACAGCCGTTTCGCGCGGCCCAGTTAAAGAGTCATCGTGCCTGGCGCCAGGAACGGGCCTCCTCCTCCCTCCTCCCTCCTCCCCCTTGGCCCCTCTCCACCCAATCGTCCGCCCGCGAGGCGCAACGTCTGTCCGCCCATTATTAGAAGCCCGGCGCTAAAAACTTCTCTCCCAACTTCGTCGAGAGCGGCACCTGAGGGTGGAACCGCGTCGCCTCTGTCACACTCTCACACTCTGTCTGTCTGCCGCGAAAGCTTGTCCCTTTTTTGATTCGCTCTGGTCTAATTTACCCGTCTGCCGCGTCCCCGACTGGACGGAGGCGGACCTGGACGGGGAGGGTGGGCGGTGACCACTTCGCGAATGGCATCGCGAAGGGGGGAGGGGGGCGGACGTCCACTCACCCTTCAGAATTTTTAAAGATTTTTTTTTTTTTTCGCTTTCCTTTCTTGCTCTTCGGTTGTTCTTCTTCTTTGTCTGGTTTGCTGCCGTCTCGGCTCAATCCGCTCGCTGGCCGTAGCTTTGGGCCGTTGGCCGCGCGCGAGAGCGAAGCGACAACGATCGCGGGCCAGTCGTTCTCGCGCTCGCGCCAGCACGCGCCCACGACGCAGGCAGGGCAGAACAGCCGGCTTCCGTGTTTCAGGTCGCCTCGACATGGCCGGCCGGCCCTCTGCGGCTGGCCTCTGCGCGTGATGGGATGGTGGCCTCTGCGCTGTGGCCCGCCGCCTAAAAAAGACACGCGCTGATGGCTGCTGCTTCTATCTACGGTTTTTCTTTACGTGGCCGCTCCCAACCAACAGTGGCTGTTTGTGCCGTGTGTTTGCTGGGACCGCCTTTTCAGTCTCGATGCTCTCGCGCTCGACGCAGGATGGATGGATGGCAGGCATGCGAGGCGTGACAACCCTCCTGCGCTGCCGGTGCGACTACCGCATTGTCGTGCCAACTTTTGTGTGCCATGTCTCACCCGGACGGCTCCCTGCGTGCCTCCCGCCGATGGCGTGAGTGCCAGGGGAAAACACCACCGCACAGGCTGCTCAAGGGGCAACCGCGGTGTCAATATTCCCGTTGCTAGCTCGTCGATGCCAGACCACGGAGTCGGTTGGATACGACGGCTTCACTTGCGCATGAAGTCTGCGTTTATTCAGAGCCAACTTATCCCGCGATCATGCCGAACTCCTTACTCCGCGGAGGACTGCGTATTCATTGTCTTGCTCCGCAAGCCCTAGCACGAGCCAGCAGGGCCTTCTCCTATCTCCTAGAACGGCACTGCACAGTATGTATCCTGCGAGGATGTTCCGCATGCTGTCGTGACACCGCCACCACCCACCGTCAACCCCGTCTCATCTAGTACTTCTCCGCGCAGACGATCTGGACGTGCCGGTGGCACGAGCACATGGCCGCTCACCGCCCCGGGCTCGCGCAACGGACCCCGTCGTGACGCCATCCCATCGTTTGCTGCGAGTCACCATACATGGACACATGAACACGAGACGGTCGCGACGCCGGTACCGTTTGCTACCCGTACAACGTGATCTAATCTCGGACAGCCCGCTGGACCCCGTCCCCCGTGCAAGGAGCAACTGGGTCGCTCATCTCAAAGATGGAGCCATATCCGGGGAAGCCTGGCCCCAGAGTCAAGCTTCGCAACGCACTGGCAGTCAGGCGGCTCGGCGGACAGACCGCCACCTGCTCGGACCAGCTCTTGT